GGCTCATGGCAGAATGTTAAAAAGCAACGTGATTAGTTCTCACTGAGCGCTGCCTCCTCCCCCACCCTTTAACAAAGTCCTGGCTTCGTCTGTGGTTTCACCAACCTACACAGCGTCCAGCGCCCTAACAACACGGCCTATGCTGCACGGTACAGCCCGTGTTATAAACCACACGGGTTATACAGTGGAATGCTGAACATAAAGTGTTCCGCGCTGCAAGCACTGACATAAGTATGTCAAGTGCTGGCAGGACCGCGGATGAGTTACCAGCATGAGTAGAGTGGTGTGGAGGACCCATCTGCCTGCTGTTTCTCGCCAGCCGGAAATGTGTCAGCCCGCGACGTACTTTGAGGAATTACTGTTGTACGCTGCCTGACACATATGCAAGTTATGGGCTGAATTAATCGGCTCTTGACCAGTACTCCGACCAGGAAATTTAAATCTGAATTGTGGCGAAGATACTGGAGAAATAACCGGAGACAAGTTTTCAAATTCAGGGTTTGGCTCTAAATAATTTTAGCTAGTTGTTAATGACCGTGCAAATAAGATTGTTGCGCGATGCTCGTACAATCACCTTAAGCTTTGCAATAAGCATATCTGGTTGGTTTACTTTGCATTACCAACACCGGCACGTCCGGTATTCTGATAATGGCCAAATGATCTGTCGTGGTGCAAAAAATCAACAGAGAGAAAGATACGCAAAACTTTGCCTTTAGTCGAGAATGACACCTGATACATCTATAGGTTTCAAACTATCCGTACACACAACCAATTGACCGAGATGAAAGCTGTTTCCATGCAGAACGCGTACAAAGGTAGTTGCAAGGTCTCAACATCTCTCCAATGCGTCTGAAAATATCCCTCACGTCAAGCATTCGACTGATGGCCGGCAAAATAAGCAAACGCCGCGCGCTCGCCCACCAGCTCGCACGTCATCACAGGGCGGCGTGCGTAACAGCGATCAGCTGTTCTCGGCCGGCGATCAGCTGACGAGCGCAGCGCTTTGGACGGCTGTCGCGTCACGATGGCAGCGCCCGCCCGCGAGCCCCGTGTCGTAACGACACTCCGTCACGGAGGTGACACGCCGCGCTTGACGCCGCGGCATGAGGCTGACCGCCCTCACCTGTCCGATCCCGTGCTCTCCTGGCGGCGGCACTTGGCCTGCTTGGCCTCCTTCTTGGCGTCGGCCTTGTCGCGCCTGAGGAAGCTGAACATGGTGCTGTCCGTGCCGCGCCGGCGGGACACTGAGCCGCCGGCCGGTCCGACCCGGCCCGCCCGGCTCGGCCGGCGGCTCAGCTGGCGGCAGTGGCGGCGGCCAAAACCGCTCAGTCCTGCCGGCTGGGCCACGGCGCCGGCCGCCGCCCAGCAGGCTTAGACACCAGCAGACACAAACAAAAGCAGGCGCGCAGACACCTGCAAAATACGCGGGAATAGCTGGCTACTCAGACACCGGCGGACAACTGACAAACAGACACCAGCCGGCACAGACGACGGTCAACATGTGCGGACACCGCGGAAGGCCGTCAGAACAGTAGCAGACACGCACGCCTCAGACATATGCAGACAATGACAGACACAAAGAAGGCAGCAGCCGCCTGATGGCGGACACACCGCGGCGGGCGTACAAGGGCACCGCCAAACTTACGGACACTGGCAGACACGCACGTGGCAACAGGCATGCAGACACCGACCAACAGCGTGTCCGAAGGCTGACAGGCATAGGCAGGGAATGGCCGAATACCGACCAACGCTGAGGCAAGCAGGTGCGCGGACCCTGGCTAACAATCACAGTGACGGATGCCATGAGGCCGGGTGGTGAAGCCATCTATGCAACGCTTCACAGCGACCAGCTGACGGAGGCAGTGGCTGACTGAGCCTTCACCTGGCAGATAAGTCGGCCGACAGACGCAACAACCGACGTTAACACTAGCTGGCAGACATTAGCTGACGGAGACGCCGACTGGCCGGGACACCAGCTGACGAAAGCTTCGGCTGACGGTGAGTGACACTGACAGAGACGCTGCTTAACGCATGCATCGATATATATATATATATATATATATATATATATATATATATATATATATATATATTCATGAAAAGTGTGGCCATTTCCTTTATAAGCACAGCATTCCAAAACTGTTCTTATTGGGTTATTTTGCACTCGGAGCTAAGGATGGTGAGACACGTTCTCGTTTTGAAGTTGCGTTCGAAAAACCGGGGGGGGGGGGGGGAAGGGGGAGCCAACTTGCCCTGGCCGGAAGCGGGTTGGCGTGCGCACGGCTGGCCAGCTGAATACCTTCGCTCGGGTTTGAATCAAGCTGACTACTTCTAAGATCTAAAAAAATAATGAAACTAGAGACACCAAATGCAGAGTGGGCTGGCACACATGGGATCTTACTTGTGCCAAAATTTGAGCTTTCTAGGTCAGTGTAGGTCTAGGTAAAATAAGGTCAAGAAGTGTCAAAGTGAAGATTGGCGTCCAAGTGCTCTCAGACCTTTTTATGAAACCGCCTTGAACCTAAATGCCCGTTCTTAGAAAGAAGTCACTGGTTTTCATTTTAGGGCAGTGACCTTTTTTGAACTTAAGAAGGTCAGGCTGGCTAAAGTACTACGAAAATTTTTCTAGTTTGACGTTGGAATATGCGTCAAGGATTACTGTAGGTGATACGTTCCTGCAAACAAAAGGTTGACCTGAGTCATTTTGGGTCGGTGAACTGCTCTGATCCTTAAGAGATCCATGGAACATGCCTGTTCATGTGCGGTCCCTGTTATGAATCAATTAGCAATGAGCACCAGATACTACCCCATACCGCAAAGTTCCCAGGACAAAAAGCAAGCTGAGATAGACCTCGGTCTGAACTTCAGTCCTAGCCCTAGGTTAATGAAAGCTGTAATTATATGATCAATTATTGTATTGCATAAAAACTATTTCGGAGATGTACGGCTTCGTCTAACACTCCGTTGTCTTATCAGACTCAACTATTCCCTCGAACCTGGCGACCACGGCCATGCTTTGACCTCTCACAGGTCAGCGACTTTACAAGGTACATCTAATGTTCATTCCAAAAGATCTGCTATTCAACTGCCTACAGCTATGCGAAGTTTGGCGTGGCTACGGCACGCCTTTGTTCAGAAATAGATCTGGAAAACTTTCGAGAGGGGAGACAAATTATGCCCCACCCGAGCGCTTATATATATATATATATATATATATATATAATATATATATATATATATATATATATATATATATATATATATGTACATATATAGGGGAAAACGTGGCAAAGTGAGGCACCCTAGTAAAACGGGCACCCCGTGATTTCGGCCGTTAGAGGCGGCGCCATCAGAAATCAATGGTTTAAACTAAAGGCTTTCTGACAGGGACGGAATGACGTGCATTGGGCCTTTCTGTTGCGGCCATCGTTGGAGGAGGACGTGGGTTTTCACTTTCCATTTTTTTGTTATTATTTTTATGGTCATTTGAACGTTGTTTATTCTAGGAGTATAATGAATTAAGTTAAATGAATTAATATGTAATTAATTCAAAGTTGCTGCGCTTTGATCGTGTATGCATGCAGATTCCTTGTGAGCAATTGTGAATTTTTCGGGCCAGTTTTCGTTGCGTGTCGAATCATGTTGTGTTGTTGGCGCCCGTGGAGCAGAATGGTTGGGGCAAAATGGGCACTCGGGGGAAAATAGGACACAAAAAAGTCCCGTTTTGCCCCGCCTGAAATATGACTATCGCAAGAAAACTTGGCTTTAATAGGCCATGACACAATGTTTCAATGGTAGTAGCTGGCACATAAGTAGAGCCCGAAGCAAGTGAATCGATCCTGTTTCAGTTCTATGATAAACAGTGGTTGATACTACTGCGTCAAACTGGGAATGTGCGGCCTTGCGATTTGACGTTTGTAATTTGTTAAAGGTGCGCACCGTGATAGCTCTATATTCATCGTTCCTTTTAGGCCTAAATTATGTTTTTAACAAAGCTTATTGTGAACATAAGGATTGCAAGTTCTTACCTGTGATGACTTGATTCAGTATCACGCATTTGCCCATTTCTTTGATAACCTCTATAACTTACTTGTTAGTCAGCGAACAAGCAACGACTTCCGACAGACCCGTTATGAAAGAAGTATCCTAAGAAGTAACTTAGGCTATGGAAAAGGTGAAAAGATAATACATTTTTGGTCATAATCACATAAAACTCACAGTACATTCGTACTTTTCCGTACATCTAAAGGGTGTATTTCTTTGCATGCACAGGCATTGGCGTAGTACTTACGCGTAGGTATTCTGTCTGACAGAACTGTCGTAAAAAATTAATTTAAGCTTTTTTTTCTGCTTATGGTAAGACGCAGAATATTGTAGTAAGTTGTAATGTTTATTTATCATGTTGTGGCCCAGAAACGCTGCTAACTCCAATAAAGTGGGAAAAAGCCTACATTCCCTTTAAACATAAACGATTCAATGCTTTTGTTTTTAAATTATTAAAGAGTTCAAACGGTTTCTTGTTCCTTAAACACAAGGACTGACTTGTTGTATAGTAGTATTACATAGAAGGTGTTTTTATCATATCGCCCTTAATATTAAACGTAACCAATTTAACACAAGAAACGAAATGCCCTATTACCAATATATATATATATATATATATATATATATATATATATATATATATATATATATATATATATAGTTATAGTTATAGTTATAGTTATAATTATAGGCATGCAGTTGGGTATTTTGCTTTATAATTGTACTTAACTTTTCATATTAGTTAAACGTTTTCCCATTTTATAAAAGGAATGCAGGCACACTGACGGGGTCCAGGGTGGGTTGGGAAGGGGGAGGCTTAAGGGGCAAATGACCCTCCAAATCCTTTCAAAGTTCACGCTGATGTTCTTTTTTTACAGAGAAACTTCTTCGCCAGACGGAGAATGGTTCGAAATTACAAAAGAAAAACCGATCGGCAATCCTGGAAGCAGGATACGATGGCAAAGGCCATCAAAACAGTCAATGTGGGAAAATGTCTACCAAAGAAGCGGCACGCCGCTTTCTGGTCCCGAAGTCGACTCTCGACAGACGGTCGAAAAAGGCACAGGCAATGTCAATAACAGAGGCCACAGAGAAAGTCCTGAGTCGACACAAACCTGTTTTAACGGAAGCTCAGGGGCGAGATTTGGTACAGCACATAATGGAGCTCCAAAACCGGATGTTCGGAATATCGCTGAGTGACCTCAAGAAGCTCGCATATGAGCTCTCAGACAGAAACAAAATCACTCACTCATTCAACACGGTGACGAAGATGGCAGGGGAGGCATGGATACGGTTGCTTCCGCAAAAGGAACCCCACGGTCTCACTAAGGACACCAGAGGCTCAAGCGTTGCTCGCGCCGCGGCGTTCAACTCAGTCAATGTCAATGCGTTCTTCGACATCCTTGAGTCGCAGATGGATTCTGCCCAGTTCGGTCCCACACGCATCTACAACATGGATGAAACGGGATTCAACTCGGTCGCAACAAAACAAGATAAGATGCTGGCGAGGAAAGGGTGCAAGCAGGCCGGCCAACTGACATCTGCGGAACGAGGCGCGCTGGTTACCTGGGTGATGTGTATCAACGCTGCAGGGAGCTACATACCTCCAGATGTGATATTCCCAAGAAAGAGGGCCAACCAGCAGTTGGAGAAGGGTCTTCCCCTAGGTAGCTGGTGCTGTACCATGAGTCTGGTTGGATGCAGAAGGGGCTGTCGTGAAATGGCCTGACCATTTCATACAGCGCGCGAAGCCCTCGAAACAGGATCCAGCCCTTCTCATACTGGATGGACATGCCAGCCATATCAAGAGCCTCGCAGCCATCCTGCTGTGTGGTGAAGGAAGCAGGTGTGTGATGCTCACCATTCCTCCGCACACCTCACACCGCCTTCAACCACTGGACCGGACATTCATGCTTCCCGTCAGCACCTTCTTCTTCCAAGGTCAGAGAACGTGGCTCCGAAACAAAGTTGGTAAAGTCATCACACTGTATGAGACGAGGGAGCTGATCGGGTCAGCCTACGTGCAGGCGGCAACAGTGAAGAGGGCGTTGAAGGGCCTCGAAGTCACGGGGATCTTTCCCACAAACCGCCATGTGTTTGGCGAAGAAGACTTCGCAGCGGCAGGAACAACGAACATCCCTCTCACCGGCACCGCATAAGCACCAGTGGATCTCAACTCAGCAGCAGCTCCTCTGCCCATGCCTGGGCCCTCTGACGTCGATGTCTCGGTGAGCGCGAACGCTCGGGAGTCCTCGGAAACTGTCGCCGGAGACGCAACGCAGGCTAGAATCTCGGGGCAGGGAAGCTCGACTAATGCCGAAACTCCGGCAAAGCTACTCACCGCTGGGGCCCTGCCAAAGGATTTCTCAAGCTCTAGCGATGACGCAGATGAGGTTCTAGAAGTGTCATGCTAGCTGGACCGAGCCATGCTTCCTAATGCGTAACACACCCGTAAGGTCCTATGTGTCTCCCCGCGAAATCCTCCTGTACCAAAAGTGCACTCAGGGAGGAGAGAGGTAAAGGACGAAAGAAAGGTAAAACATGTGTTTTGACTGGCACACCATACAAGGAGGAACTCGAAAAGAGACTCGAAGGAAAAGAAGGAAGACAGAGAGGAAAGAAAAATGACGACAGAAGTCAGTCTACAGGAAGGAAAGGAAGAGTGTAGAAACTCGGAAACCGCAGCGCAAACAAAAGAAGCGTGCGCCGCGAAAGCTTACCTTTGAGGGGTCCTTGGACGAAGAAGACGTAGCTTGTCTGTACTGCGGGTCTTACTTCTCCATGTCCAAATCAAGCGAGTCTTGGTCGCGATGTGCTCTCCGCGATAAATGGGTGCACGATGCCTGTGCAGGGATTGATGAAGAAGACGAGTGCGTGTTCGTGTGCGAACGGTGCAGGGATAACTAGGCAGGCTGATGTCTTGTCCAGTTTCGCCATTGGTCGTACCTGCTAACGGGTCCACTAGGCTGTGCTCTTTTCGTGTCTTGCGTTCACAGTGACTAAGAAGTGGATTGATGAGAAGAACAAGTGAGCGTGAGCGCACTTGCTCGATGACTTGTGTATTTGAGACTCGATCGTTGTCGTCTCATTGTGTAACCGCCGGGCTGTGTTCCTCTAGTTATGTGTCTAAGCCATGCAGCAATGGCTTCGCTTAATGCCAATGTAGTACACATTGCTAGCCATTATAACTTTTATTCGTGGGATCATACTAAGGAAACGAGTATGGAGTGGGATGGCTCGAACAAAATATGACAGCCCAAACTTAAGAAATATAGCTATTGGATGTCCAGATAAATACCTACTACCTAGCAATGCATTTATTGACGCGTTTTCATTAAAGAATGATAACTTTGAACAGTCACTTCGCTTATTCAATCTCATCACTTGTCCGTTTTGCCCCGAATACTCTTCGTTTTGCCTCAGGCCAGGGGCAAAATGAAGAAAAAACATTGCCTGATATTTAGAAGGATCACACTTTAACATGAAGAGATGTCAAACCAGCGCTTTTCTAAGAGATAGACAATTGATCAGCCTTTAATATCCACCGGCTAAAGACTTTCTGGACAGACTTATGGACTCGCCATATTAAAAAACCGTTAGGGTGTCCGTCTTGCCCCGCTTTCCCCTACATACATACATGGATATATAGATTCAAGATAAATATGTCATAGACATGTAGCTTAAGATGCTTGAACTCTAAGAACATATGCTGAGGGGGTTGTAAGCAGGCATGCAGAAAAACCAAGGCTGCATAAAAAGTCAAAACATAACCTTTAATACTACAGAAACCTAGTGTTTGCCCCCAAATATCTCGTTTATTTCATATGATAGGAAAATATACCGCTATTTACGGCATGAAGCAGTTGTGTCCAGTGCGGTTTGAGGAAGATGATTGGTAAACCAGGTAAATCGGCATGCAAGTTAAAGGTAGAACAAGTAAACGAAACATAACTTGAATTCCCCAAAATGAGGGGGAGGTTGTTAACACTGCTAGCCCTCCACTTTGAACGGCGTTGGTATGGTCTCCTTGCCCCCCC